AAAGTTTGAATAAGAGGCCCTCGTGCCATACCTTATCAAAAACTTTTTCTGTGTCTAGCAGTCACAGCAGTTTTTGGTATTATGTTCAAGTTGTATATGATATTGTCAATGGATTTGACTAGGTGGATTGTTCTAATGCGTGGGGGTGAAACTCGAACTGTTTGGCTCTGATTTGTGTATTATGTATTATGTGTCTGGAGAGAAGAAGATTTTCAAAAAGTTTTTCTTATAATGTTGAGAAGGGATATACTATATAGGCCAATGGTTTGTTTGGATTTTTGGATCTTTTTTTCGGTTTTGGTATCATAATAATATCTTCGATTTTCTACCGGTTGGGTTAAGAATTCAAGTTCGGTACGTGCAACATAAATTCTGCACAGAATTATGCAAGTTTTTTCCTTCCGATAAGTTTCCGATAAATCGGTCGCCATCGGCTGTACAGTTTTGTGTGGTGTTTAAATCTTCTGATAAGTTATATAAGATTACATTTTGAGCTCTTGATTAGCTATCATCATCTAATTTGTTTAATATATTTAACTCACACATTTGAGAAGTCAAGGTAGTTTTTTGATTTGTATTAATTTATTTTCAAGTTTAGAAACTTTTGTTTTTGAACTGTTTGCCGCTAATAAGTTTTGCTCTGGACTCTCCAAGTTGCGGACATTATACATGAGCAAGCTTGTCCCTCCGTTTTCCGATGACAATTCGTCAGCCGGTGGTGCCAAGCCGCCAGCCGTCATGTCGGTATACATCTTTAGACTGTCTTTTCTCAACGGTTGATCCGAACCCAACGTCGCGTTCGATCACCTTTCCCATACGTGCAGCATTGAATACCTCTCGTTGCTGTGATCAACTGCCCGCCTTCAATCCAATACGTGGCAATTTATAATGATATTATGGAACGCAACTCCTCTTCAGTCACCGTCTGTGAGTGATGCCGCATAAGCTTCGTGTGCTCACGATCGAGTACATCTCGATGAATTAATATCGATGTATCTTAATAATCGGTGTTTTGGCAGCCGTTACCGAATACACTCATTCTGTCGTCACCAGGTCATACCTTACGTTTATTCTCAGCCTGTGCTCAGTGACCATCTCTATACTGTATATTAATATTCGTAGGGCGCCCACATATATTATCTAGAGTGTGGGCAAACGCCCAAAAGAGCTTAAAGGATTGTTAGCAGACTGTTGCTGACGATATATCACTTAAGTAATTTTCAGGAAAAGTGGCCCTCAATGGTGGCACGCCCGATGGATGTTTTAACGCAGTGGCTTTAATACTCGTTCCAAAAAACGTATTGCAAATTTAAATTAATATTTCGTAGAGCTACCGGTCAACGTTGAGCACCACTGTTTTTCTGAAATATCGTCACCAGTCGAGCCGCCATCGAGGGCCACTTTTCCTGGAAACTACTGTGGCGGCCGTCGCCATCTATCTTCGGCCGATCCATTTATCCCCCGACCACGAACGCTTGTCCATGTTCTGGATGGTAGCAAGGGCATAGTATCGGATAAAGCGGGAGTGAGTACCAGTATGTAGACCACCAAAATTAAAATGGTTGGTAAAAAAATGCCAAGTGTGCTTTAAAATTCCAGGTGCCGAATCCGAAGTAACGGCTATCTTTAATATGTGGTAGTAAAACCACTGGCAAGCTGAATGTCAGAAAAGTGAGTTATCTTTCAGATAAAAATGTCGTAGACAGCGTTTCAAGTATTGTAGAACAAGATAAGTTAACACAGCATTTGTCCGGTCACAGACGAAGATTTTTCCGAGGAGTTAATTCTTTATCCACGAGAAAAGTGTAAGAGGAGAGATTTAGGTACAGACTCAATGTTTGAGTTGCGACAACCCTTTTTGGATTTGTAGACCGGAGCGTTGGAGTCTCTTGGAGAATCACTTCACAATTGGTACAATAGAGGTTGCATAATCCATTATGTATTCATGTATCCATTATATCCAAATTATTTAAAGTGAAATTGAGTATTTAGGTCATATTATTTCAGCAGTAGGGTTAAGTAAATGTAAAAATAAAATTGAAGCCATTGTAGATATGCTAGAGTCTCGTAATATAACGCAAGTTGAATTATGAAAAATTATTCTAAATTTTTGCCGAACGTTTCGATACTCATGACTCATGAGACCTATTTAAAAATTATAATTTATTAACGAAAAAAAAAACAATTTTGCTGGATTCGGAACTGTCATATAGCATTCGATAAAATTATGGAATTAGTTATTTCAGATTAAGTTTTAAAACATTTTAACTCAAATTTCAAAATTATTCTGTCGACGGACTGGTCGATAGGGCCTGGAATTATATGCACTAAAAACGTATGAAATATGCATGCATTTATGCATTGATTTTCATTAAAATATGCACTTAAAATATGCAAAAATAGGTAAACCAAAATTCATGTTAATTACATTAATTTAGTGTAAAAATTAGTAAAATTCATTAAATAATTAATATGGCAAAAAAAATGTATTAAATGCCAAGTTGGAATAATTTAACTGTATTTTGTACAATGTATGTTGCATTTTGAACATTTATTCATCTGAATAAAAATTCATGAACAAATATCAATTCAAATAAATGTAGGATGTTTTTATAACATTTCTTAGTTACCATAAGAGTTACAGTTGATAACTAAAGACTTGGATAAATTTTCAAATAAAAATGCACGTCGGTTTTCAGAAAATATATTCTTGAATCAAGAAAAACTTTACATTCGCGGGATTTACGTAGAACATATTATCATTAATAACTTAATACTATTTTTTAATCGTAAATATGCATTAGGTATATTTTAGAAAAATGCTAAAATATGCAAAAAAATGGAACATTTAATTTTGCATACCAACACATAACCTTAAGATTCAAATTTGTAGCTTATCTAGGGTCTATGGATCTTCACAGGAAAAAATTTTTTGTATCCGTATATAATATTGCCTACATTTAGCCCCTTTTTTGCAGTCATCAAAATGTGATATTAACTATAATAATTATAATTAAAATAGTTAAATACATTAATAGTTAAAAAAAAAACACAATATCGTAATTTAAAATTTAAAAATACACAATTCATTGAGAATGCAGTATAAATGTACAATCTATTTACATGGAACATTATTTTAAATTTTCAATCTTTAGCTATAAAAATTATATTATATAATAAAATTTTAAATTTGATAAATATTTTCAAAATTCGAACTAATACCCAGATAGCAATTGTGTAATAATATTATTATTATTATAGTACACAAATATTGTTTAAAAAATAATTGAACTTTTATACCTAAAGATTGAAAATTTAAAATAATGTTCCACGTAAGTAGATTGTACATTTATACTGTATTCTCAATGAATTGTGTAATTTTAAATTTTAAATTATGATATTGTGTTTTTTAATAACTTATTAACTATTAATGTATTTAACTATTTTAATTATAATTAATATAATAAAATATAATATTATAATTTAAAATGAAAATGATGTTATCGGTTTATCAATGTTATCACATTTTGATGACTGCAAAAAAGGGGCTAAATGTAGGCAATATTATATACTGACACAAAAAATTTTTTCCTGGAAGATCGTTACTTTTTTGACTATTAAAACAAAACAGGGAAAGCATATAATTCCGGGCCCTGTTTATCGCATAAAATGCCGGATTGCAGTGAACGACGAACGACCAATTAATTTTATTTCAAGAACATTTGAGCCTGTGGAAAATAATTATTCCGTCACGGATAAAGAAGCTTTAGCAATCCACTGGTCACTTAATTATTTCAATATTTACAGCACAAAATGTTTAATATTAGAAATGATCATTAACCACTCATTGGGATTTTAAGCGAAAATAAAAATATACCGACTATGACCGGCAAGATTTTAGAGATTTCTTTGTGGGATTTCAGTACAAACTTCAGTGTATGAAAGTTAATCTTATATCTACTGATTTACTTTCAAGATTGTCAATCAAGGGAAAATATGAAGTTTCGGTTGACCGTAAACCCCTAATCACTTAAATTGTATTTATAGAATCCGAATATTCTACATCGTGGTCTATGCTTAGTAAAATATTAATTAGTAAACACCGAATTGCCAACAGAAACTATAAAATGATGACTATTGACCGTAGACAACAAATTACATTATGAAATATTATTATGTGTTTGGTTTTTGTCTTGGCGAATTATATAGCTCCATCAGCATTTTTAAAAATTAAAAATTAGCCTTATTTACATCAAATATTTTTTTTGTGTCTATGAGAGGTCTATAGCTTTGACCATGCCACCATGATAATACAACACATATTATACTAATAAATATTAAAATTTTGTCTGACAATAAATTTGTTAATAATAGTTATACAATAGACAATCTGACTAAATATATGGGGGTTCATTCTTTTTTTTATTTAATAATTTAAATTTATTGCTTATTTCAAAAAGATGTAATGCGGTATGCTTTTAAAATTATTTTTTGGGCTTTGAAATTTGAGCCCTACACTAATTTATAATTTTAAAATGAATTACTTTTAATAGTTATATCATAAAATAAACTTAGTAATTCATAAGTTTATATATATTTAAATTCAAATTTATGTTCATTACAGAGACCTACAAGACACTTTAATGTACAGCAGATTGATACTCACTTGCCCACTTTTTTTATTTGATTAGTTTATTATATCTAAAGTTGGAAAAGATATTGTTAATTTTAAAATGCATATTATTTTCAAAAATAATAGGTCACTGACTTAATTGAGAAGGGGTAAGTAATTGGGGTATAAAATTGACCGGTATTACTCTCCTTGAGATTTTTTTTGTTAACCTGTAAATTTAACCACTTGATTGAACAACATTTGGTTCTTGTTACACCACTGACCCTTATCTGTATAAATCAATGGCATGTTTCACTCCTACAAAAGATTTGGTGCCACCACTGTACATTACAATAACTAACTGGTGTATGGTTAAAAACTTCAAATATTCTGCAAACACATGAGCACCGCTTTAATATAAAACATAGAAAAAAGTACAAAAAGTAGATCCTACATAAGAACCAGCTCAATTAAAATAATGTTATAATTTCTTTTTGAATATAAGTAAGATCTATACTTAAAAAACTATTCACATAATAAAAAATAATTTTTAAACATTAAAAATAATAGTAATAATATAAGGTAATATATTTTAATTTCTCAATTAACTATTTGAATTCATAGATTTTTAGTTTTAAGTTAATTTAATACAGGATTCCGTTTTTTATGTTGTTCTAGGAGTGTAGATCTTCTTTCATAAACATCAGGGTACATCTTTTGGAACTAAAAAGGTAATAACAATAAATAAGTATTTTTGATTAACATTAAAATATAATAGTCTATTTCAAATGATAATTATAGGACAATATTTATAAAAAAAATATGATTTTCTTCGAGTTACATTATAGTTCAAACTTCAAATTGTTTAAGATTAATATCATAACTTACTAATTTTATACGTTTACTCTTTTCTTTATTAGACATTGATGTACTACTTATGATTTGATCCAACAATTCAATAAGGGCTTCTTTAGATTCAGTACTTCTTTGTTTTTCAAATTCTTTATCTGATATTCTAAGGCAATAGTGCATACTACCCTAAAATATAGAATATCATATATTTTAAATTTATAATATATTGTGTTATTATTATTATTGTGGCGACAAAGCTTAATTTAGTGAAATGTGTACATAGAAAATTTATAAAATGATGTTTTTTTTTGTTAGAAAAGTTGATAAAACATATATTTTTTTTAAGCATCAACTTGTTCCTAAAGGATGCATCATTATTATGCATATTTAATATTGTAAAAGTCAAATTTTATGATGCTTCACTTAGAAACACACTCTTGCAAAAAGATAAGACTCAAAAATAATGCAGCTGGTGCATTTTTCTCAGATTCAGTGGTTCTCAAATATGGAAAACTAAACCAACAGTGGTGGTACGCATAATGTACCACTAAGATAATTAAAAAAAAAAAACTTAAATGTTAAAAACATATACTAATCAACTTTCCACACATTTTAGAGCTGGTTTTGGAAACCTTGATGAACAATTTTAGAATCAAATATTGAATCACGTTTCTAGTGAAATATATTGTATATTTTTAACAAATACTAACCTTAAACAGTTGCTCATCATTACTAAAAGAATTGAACTTTTCTGATAAAATTGAATCAGTTTTAATAGGTAAAAATATTAATTTTTGACTGTGTATCAAAAATTTAACAACATCAGTAGCTAAACAATCATATTCAAATTGATTAACATTTTGTCTCAACACTGCACAACATAATTTATCTGTAATCTGAAAAAATCACAAATAAAAATAATGTTGTGAACATCAAAATATTGTATATTATTATTTGCGTATTTTCCAAATAATGGATTTATAATTTGTAAAAATAAAACATTAAAAAAAACAAATGAATCCCATATTTATTTTAACTAATACAATTTTGAAATTTTAAATGTGACTATTGCAATTTATAGGATAACGATTCATTTAGTTTATTATAAGTTTTCGGATTAATAAAAGTGATCAAATGTTGTTAAATGTCTAAATTATATTATTAAGAGATTTATGATATATCAGCATTAAATCAAACATTACATAAATTCAATAAAAACACTTATGTCCTAGTCATTTGCAAATTAGTATTTATAATAATAATACATAATATTTGTAATTGTAACAAACAACATTAAAACTTTTAATATTATCCATTAAAAACTAATTCTAAATCAGATTTTTAAATATCAAAATCCCATGCAAGGTTAAAATTATTATTTCCAGAATATCTGAAATTAGTATTCTCAAATCAAAATGGCAAGCTTTAATAATTGTGCCTCTGAATATACATTCATAGCCATATGAAACCTAATTTAAATATAGTGAAAATATTTAAATATATATGATATGAGCATTGTGAATAGTATACTAAAATTTCATAATCAATTTTGGTGTATAATATAGATAAATAAACATTAGTAAGATACAATACCTTAGTGTAAGTCGAAGATAGATGAGAAACAAACTTTAAAAATACTTGTAACTTTGCTCTATTCAATGGTGGAAGACATAGACTTAATAATTGATATAAAAGAATACCCAAATGTAACGATTTTTCATTTAAACCTAAAAATAATAAATTATGGTTTATTTATAACATCTTTCAAGGTAAATCAAATTTTGTATGTTATAAAAAGATATATAATTAACTAAAAATTGAATGAAACTTTTTCAAGTTCATTATGTTTTACAAGTTATAACTTCTAAGCAAGTGAATTTACATATAATATTAATCTCAAGCATAATACTTCAGGACTTTTATATTAATATGCAATTTCAATATTTTAATCATACCATTAAATGATTGGTGTTTAAGGATTTGAGTATGGTCCATTTGTGTTATATCGATTAGTTTATGTAGAGTAGAAATTGCCATATCTAAATCAAATCCATCGGCATCATCGTTGTTAATGTTTTCAGATTGAAAAAGTCCAAAATTAACATATCCAGAAGTAGATGGACAAACAAATTTATCATTTTCTAATGATTTATTTTTAAAACCATACTCGTCTGAATAGAAGCTCTCATTATGTTCATTTAAATTTTTTGGATTAATTGAATTATTAGATATGGTGCGACCAATTTTCCTTTTCCTTATTTTTTCCATATTTTTATGATAATATGATTGTGATTTTACAGATATTTCTGGTGAACTGATTGTTCGAGTTAATTTCGGCTTTGAATATTTATGTGAAATATTTAATGGTTTATGTTCCATTTTACTTTGTTCTATTTCACAAGATTCAAAAAATGATGAACTGCTACAACTACTGACAGAAGATCTGGAAAGTGATGATACTTGTTGTCCGGAAATATCAAAACACTTATTAACAATGCACGTTTTTGAGTGATCCGTAGAAAATTCAGTTTCCCAGCACATGTTTGATGATAATTGGGTTGAATTATTATTTTCTGTCTGTTTAACATTTTTATTACACATATGATCATATCTTTCAACTACAACCAAAATAGAAATAAATATTTCATAAAAAGATATTGGAATCAGTGGTTCCTCTGAGTTTAAAAAATAATCCTTGATTACAGAATAAACATCGGCTTTAAATCCAGGATAAGTACATTCATTCATTTCCATATCTAAACAATAAAAATAACAAATAAGTAAAAAATTACCAAATAATTATGATTTAATTCTACTTTTGATACAGATTATATTTTAAGTTTGTACCACAAATTCAAAATATACTTTTTTGTTACTAAAATGTTTAGAATACTTGTTTTTTAAAATGTATGCAATAAATACAATATATAGTTGAGTAATACCAAGCGTTCTAGAAGTCTAAAAACACTTTAAATAGTTTCTGTACATTTATAATATTGCAGTTTTACTCAGAATTATAAACAATTAATTTTCAATTAAAATTACTTTAACTTACTTACTAATAAATAATAATATAGCATCCAATTTTAATAGCTTAATAGCTTTTAATTTTAGGATTGTAAGTATTTGACTATAAATATAAAGGTACAATTTTGAAATCAGGTATAAAATAAACACCAAATAGTTACTTATTGTAGATTATAGTGCCGACTAGAATATATAAGGAAATAGAACAGATGGTCATAAAAAGTTAATAGCACATTATTAATTTAGCCTTTGTAAAGTGATACACATTGGTACATAATATTATCTTGTATGGAAAACATTCATCAAAAATTTTTTATTGGTTCCAGATTTGTTGGTATATTAGGTACATAATAACTATAGTATGTGAATTATAATTTTAATTCATATTGCAAATTTAAATTTGCAAAAGTTTTGATCGAATTAAAACAAAAACTAAAATGTACGTATAATTATTATATAATATAATATTATTGTTACCAGATGTTAAACTATCCATTGCAGACTTCACCCAATGAGGAAATAAACCATCAACATTATAATCTTGATTATAAATATTCATGATTATCCACTGTTTATTTAAATTTTCAGTATTTAGAAAATCATCCATATTAAAACTTTTCAGAATATTCCGCAAACTATAAATCAACAAAAACATATTCTCTATAGTTATTTTTTAGTTATAAAATAAATTTATGTAGAATTCTAATTATTCTTTCTTAAAACCTTAAGTATTTAGGTATTCAGTAGACCAGGGGTCAGCAATCAAATACTAAGAGGGTCTGGATAATTTGAAAAATTAATTTTAAGGTCTAGAACACCTTAAGACAAATGATGAAAAGAAAAAATCAGCATTAAAGCAATACAATTTTAGCGGTTTATTCGTATCATGTCATAGTCATGGCATTGCTGACCTCTGCAATACACTTTTCATTATATTTAGTATCTCATACAATAATTGTATTTTTATATATAGCCATTTACTTATATTATATGTATAATATTATATAATATATAGATATTTTATTTATATAAACAATTAAATAGTTAAACTTGATTTTAGAGTAGAAACCAGATTTTGTTTAAATAAAAAGTTAACATTTCAACTATAGGCATAGTTGTTTTGATGAATTTGTAATTTAAAGTATCAACCATCAATACAGTAACCAATTTTTAATACATTTATATATAAAAAAAAATGTATAGTATGATTGATTAAAAAATTAAGAACTGTATACCTATACTCCGACCCTACATTAACCTAAATGCATTGTAAGAATAATTGATAAATATTTACTTTTGTATAATGAAATTAGCAATTTTATGATTTTCATTTAAATATGTGTTCATTGCAACATTTTCCATCGAATAAGACTTCATTCTATGACTACTAATAACTTTTTCACTTCTTTTGGGTTGAGGAGACAACGATTGAGGTTTATTCATAAGGAATACATTTAATGATGACAATACAGATCCTTTACTGATTGTTTTATTCATATTCTTTGGTAATGCAAATCTGAAATGGTAAAATGTAATGTTATTAGGTTATGGTTAATAGAAACCACAAAATAAATATATAATTTGATTTAAGTTTTTAGAATTAGTACAGTCAGTGGCGCCGGATCCCCAAAATAAAGGTGTGACAACATTTCATCATAACACCCACCCACCTATAGGTATATTTAGGCGAGTGTTCAAGACCCCCCCCCCCCCCCGAAAAAAAAAATTGTTAGCCCCAAAAAATTCAGAGCACGTCAATCTAAAATGTAGTATAGGCCTTACAGGTTAAAAATTGCAACCTCCCAACTTCAAAACTCAAATTGCTTATAAAGTCATAACTGTTGAATTTAAATTAATTTTAAATTGTAATTAGGTTATATTTCACTTATATAATTAATAGTTATATATTATAATATATTATAATTTAATATTGTATATTATAATAGAAAAATAAAATTGCTAATGCACAACACGTCACCGAGACCGTCTTGCATAGTTGCATGACCATTTATTTATTTATTTATATTATAGCTTATTTGCTTATTGTATTACTAATAGAATACAGACATATTATACTAACTGTTTACAAGATATCTTAATTTGTGGCTATACTACTGTTAATTAATTTATTAGCTATAGTGCTATACCATTTTAATATATGCAATGACACAATGTTAATAAACTATTAAGTATTACTATTTTTGTATTGCATAGGTGACACCTAACAGTAGTATGGTACCACCTACCCACCCACGACCCACCCCTTAAAAAGGTGTGACTGGCGTCATACCTTTATACCGTGTTCAGCGCCACTGAGTACAGTTCATGTTATTTAAAATGTATAATAAAGCTAACTTTAAACTATTTTACATTAAAATGTAATTTAAAAAAAAAAAAATGGGTAACTTATAACGTATGCCTAATGAAAATGTCTAAGAAAAATATGAACGATAGAAAAATTCAAAAATTTAAGAACATCGTAAGTAATAACAGTTGTCACTTATCACAAATTATTTTCTTGTCCTGGGTTATATATTAAGTTATACTTAAGTTAAACAAGTATACAACTCAAAAAATCAATAACTTGATTTACATTTATCTCCCCGTAGATTCAAGTTATTGAAGTATGTAATAGTAATTTTAGTGTATTATCAAAAAATAAAAAAGCCAATCTTTATAAACTTGATTTTTGCTTAGCTTGAAGAACAGTTTAAAAACTAAAACACTTACTCATATAATTCTGACTTATCCTTAAATTTTGTTGAGGTTGTACTGACAGCTTTAAAAATGTCAGCTTCATAAAATTTATTCATTAAGGCTACTATTTGTTGACGTGTAACTCCTTTATTGAACAAATATTGTAATTTTCCAGAAGACGCTTCATTAAACATCCAATCAACTGCTTCAAATCCCGTGAAACAGTTGTCTCTAAACCAAAGTTGGTACCGATGTGATTTTAATGGCATACCACTTCTGAAATGGTCAACTAATGCTTGCCACTTAACAAAATAATTAAGTCATTAGGTTACAATAAACACGGTAGACAAGTTAAACTTACAGTTTCCGTTGCTCGGAATTGAGAATATGTTGGCAAGTTTGGAATATTTGAATAATTCGACATTTTAAAACGTAGCTATGAATCAAGGTACCTATTTCAATTATTTGATATCATTTAAGCTGCAAGCCTACACAATGTATAATATTATCCTTACTACAGAATAGCACCGTAAACGTCAATTAATCTTATCACAAATCAAATGAATTTAAAAAACATGCTCCGGACGTTTCGGTAGAGTAATTATGAAAACAACACATACAAATTTACAAAACCTACAAATATTTTATTTTTTAAAAAAAACGTTACACTTGTCGTACAATCGTATACCCGTTGTCTTGGTGTTGTTAACAATAACAGTGATAATGATAAGCGGGCGTACTGCGCATGCCCAAACAGCTGGTGGCGAATGTGAAGGTAGAACACTTGAACCACAGAATAAAACTAAATATTGAGCGTCTGGCTTAGTTCGTTGTTAGAAACAATACAAAATTCTACAACATTTGTTTTGGGTATTGAGACAGATAGCGCTCAAAGTACCTCACTAGCACTATGCCTTTGATTTTATATCTTGTACCACGACTACAAATTTATTTTAGTTTCATGTGATTTAGGTCCGAGTAAATTAAATTAATTACATTTAGATATTTATTATTTTACTATTTGACTCTATCCGGCTGCAATGACCATTAATTAATATAGGTATGATATTTCCATCATAAATATTCATTATGTAAACTATATTTTGAGAACCTACCAGTTGTAACAGAGTTTATTATCATTACCATATATTAATTTATATTAATGTGAGTATTGTGATTTGTGACAACTACTAACTAGATATATATATACATAACCTGCTGGCTACTTGTTACGTGCTATAACACGTACCGAATTATGTTAAAATAATTATAAACTTGCTCTACAAAGTTAATAAACATGCAGATCGTGTTTATTCGTATTTATAAAATGTACTCGTATAGACGTATATACGAGGCGGTCAACCGAGTGGCGAGCATTTATTGAGTAAATTGTCGGTCACAAACTCACAACCTATTAACAAGTAACAACGTACTCTCTTGAAATTTTTAACACTACAAATATTGTTATGTACACAATAATAGATAGCTGTGGCGTCATTTCAGTTATTAATAGAGGAGGGCAACGGTTTTGACCAGCCCAAATGAGTAACAAAAAAACTTTTGTTTCGCTCTCAAGAAAATATCTTGGTTCTTACATCTTATGAAATCACCATTACCACTTTACTTATTTTATAATTTAAATATTTTTTTCTCTCATTGTTACAACCTTTTTTCACTAGGTAACAACATCATTTGCAAATATAAGTAAGCAGATATTTTATAAAAATAATTGTATACCTAGGTGCGTATACCAATTAAAGCTCTGTAAACTATTTTGACTGTACGATAAATTTACAAATGTATATTATTTTAATTTATTTTATTTTTTTAAATTTTTATTGCTAACTTACTGATTCAAGTTTCATTTGTTTATTGAATACATCAAAAATTGTTTTCGATCCATGAGCGATTTGCAGTAATTATATTTTTTTTAGCTCGTCGTTTTTAGAAGCACTCAAGCACCACCCATTTCTTTTTTATAAAAATACACTTTGTCCATATTAAAATATTAATGTGAAAATAAGTTTAAAGATAAGTCAAGATAAATTTAATTTAAATATATTTAAAATAAGATACTCAACTAAATTTACAAAATATAGAATAGTTTACGATTTTTCAATACACGACTATCTCAAGTTAACTGAAGTCTGAGGTTAGGTGTTTTTAGAATTTGTACTAATTTTATATTTTAGAAATAAAACTATACGGGATTATGACATTAATTATTATTATTGTTGTGCATGCGACACTATTATGTTATTTTCCTTCACAAAACACACACACGCACAGAAACTTACATACATACATGCTCGTCCTTGCGTGTGTCTAAATATAAATATATACAAACTATCAATTTTTAATTAAAAATGTATCATTGTGACACGGTTAAATATTTTCTGAAAATATTATAAAAATAAGGATGTTTTTGTTCTAATAAACTATAATAATAATTAAACGCCAACAGCCCGTCACCTGCCCATCGGACTGCTTTTAAAATCAGACGGGAAAATGCCCACCTTGCCCCTCTCAAATGACGCCACTAGTGTATAGATTTGAGATTCCAAGCTCGACGAAAGCGGATGTATAAGTTTTCCAATGTTGTACCTATATTGTATTTGGTAAACGGATGTTCCGTCTTATGTCCCCGTAAAAAAACCAGTCCACGGAAATTTCATACCTGTCAATTATTAAGATAGGACATATTATGGTCCTCAGGAGTTATAAGACGTTATTTAACAGGGCTTACCTAGCTTACTTATATTATTTAAAAATTAAATTTGTCTGTTGAAAATTATATTGTATAGGTAATAATTATATTGTATTACTTACTATGAATTATAAATACTGACATTTTACGTTTTATATACAGAATTGAAATTTTAAATGAAATTAAAAATAGTAATTTAATTTTAGTGATTTAAAATGCCTAGCAACCAAACGTCTTATCTAATTGACGGGGACGATACTTCTGCGGTTCTTTGTGTTTGTATAAAAAATGTACTTGTATTTTGACATTATTATAGTAAAAAATTGAACTTTTGATTTCAAAAAAAAATGTTCAATTTATATAGGTAAGTCTAGAAAAACGTAATACAAGCGGTTCCTCGTAAATTTGTCTTACTGCAACTTGTATACATGTATACAAATTTTATAGACCATCAACGATTACCTATAGTTTTTAGTTATTTTGTAGTATAATTTAAGAATATAATACTTAAGGACTTGAAACTATTTTCACCACTACGTTTATTGTTATTTATCATACTCTGTACACACTATTTGAATTAAATGTAGTAGGTAATTGCAATAATTTACATCTCATGTATTTACATTTAAAACCCTAGTCCAAAGACCTAATATTAATATAGGTATAGTGGAAGGTAGCTAAACTAAGTTAGCATACAATTGTAGAATATCAATATATGTTGTATTAATAATATTATTATTATTATTAATTTAAAGAAAGAATTGTTGTTGTAGATCTAATTCTAATATAACATTATCCCAGTGAATACACACCAAGATCATGTTCTAGCTAGCGGTCAATTGTATTGCTGTTTTGACCTTATAATCTTATCAGATCTATAATAAAATACAAATTTTAAAAATCAACATTTCTAATTAATAACATTAGATAAAATAATTAATCATAACCTATTGAAATTTCACATTCGTACTACCTATATAAATAAGTCAGTAAAAATTAATAAATAACTTGCTATCCTTATATTTTTATACAGTGGATGACATAGTGGCGTAAACTAGCGGTGCGAAAGGTTAAACCCCCCGACATTAATTGAAAGCTTACCTATTATGGAATAGGGATGCGAAGAAGGCTTTACATTTTTACAACTCCATGAGACATGAGTGTAGGTATACATTATATGTGTTACATGCATAGATAATAAAGATATGGATAGGACATATTGGTCTTATCAGCGGTCTTCGAGGGGAACAATTGAGGCCAAATAAAGTATACCTATATTGAGTATCGACTATCAATATAAAGGAGCCTCAATTGCCTTCTCCTCCGGGAACGCGGCCTCAAATGTATTTAACATAGGCGTGGCCTATCCATATCTTTATTATCTATGGTTACATGAAATGAAAATAAAATACATATTACTATTTGAGTAGATACCTATGCTTGGACAAATTATTTTGCATTAGTATTCAGTAAGAAAAACAATCAAATATAATATTTGAAAATATAATATGTAGGTATGGGTGAGTATAAATCTTATGCTATGAATAAATTTTATCTACCTACTACGATGTATTACCGACGTATTATTATGTTTATCATTAGATGTAGACGTCGGTTGGCATACTAATTTTTACTAATTTAGATAGTTATGGCCAAGTACCAATTTCAATGGATAGATACCTACCTAAATAATACTAATAGATAATACAAAAAAATTAAACATTTGTTTCTCAGAAACTTAAAAATAAAATAAAACTAGGTGGGTTTATTATTAGAATCGCCGACCTATTTCAGTCACTATACCTATTTGTTATAAATTTAAAGTGTCAATACCATATTAAAATTATTTACAATAAAATTACTTATTCTTTTTCAAAAATAAAAGTGTCAGTATATTTATTAAAATTTAAATTCATTGCTTATTTCTAACATTACTATTATTTTGTAAGGTTATTATTTTTTTCATAAAATATATTATATTTATTAGTTGTCAAATAAAGTATTACGTATAAAATATAATAGGTAATTATTTGATTTTTAGCTAAAACATTTTTTTAGGCATGTCCACGAATTAAGATATACCATAATAGTTAATGGCTTAGTATATATCTTAATTCGTGGGCATGTCCCTGTAGTATGTACCAACAAGAGCCTATCTACAAATAAAATCTAGTGATGTCTGTAACGTAACCACCCGAGAGGAGCGATACATTAAAAAAAATCTTTGCATTACTTATAATATTGATTAGAACTCGAGCCACTTTCCCCCTCGAAAAATTAAAAATACTTAGTGATTGTGACTATGTAGAGAATGAAATAAGAAATAATTAAAATTAAAATATTATACACCCATGTGGGTATTGGCCATTAGGCATCAGCTCCTGCCTTCTATAGACTATAATCTTTATGAAATGCGCTGCATAGAACATCGAGCTTAATGCAATTATAATAAAAACAATTATTACATTTAGCACTATAAAAATTCGTCCAATTCGATTTTGCGGCGTAGTTTGCTCTATTATCATGGCACATTACACACTTGAAGCAGTAATACGACTCTCGGCGTTAATAATAATAAAACGTAATCGTCGCAACTCGGAGTCGCAGTTGTCGAAAGACGTCATGATTCCACGTAATTTTGCCCGTTTTTGTGGGCCATTTATCGTGTCGATGTCCTTGCACAGCGGTTGCGCGCGCATTCCACCAGCCATCTTCGCCATAGCCGAGTTCAGGATCGTCCGGTGACGACGAATTCCAGCCGCCGCCGCCGCCGACAAGCGACCGTTGGACCCGGCCAACCACCACCGTTCGGCGGGCAGCTGACGCTCCTCGCGTGTTATCATACTCATTAGGTATCACAATTCACAATTGCTGCGTTGTAGCGGAGAGCCGCCGCCGCCGCCACTGATTGATTAGAGGTTATGAACTTTTCGTGTGTAGAGAATATTATTATTCGACTTTTGTAGTATTATTATTACTGTTTTTTAAACACATTATTATATTATATCGATATTATTTTTGTTGTTTAAATGTTTGACCATTCACATCTCCCGTAGGAATGTTGTCTAGTTCATATTATGGTTTTTAAAACTTTTTTTTAATTATGATTAAATCGTTGATTTCATTCCGTACGTTCGGTTAAGAAGGCGCTTATTCTCACATCATCATCGTCCGTTCATCAAATGTAGTTTGTTATCATCGCAGTAAACGACATGTAAAACGTTGATTTTCCGTTTTAGCAGAACCCGCAATTATTGT